CAGAGAGAGGCTGTAAGACGTGAGTAGGGACTGGTCATGTGTCTCCCTTGAGCCACTCTCTGCTTTTTTTCTCCTGAGATACCACTGACCTTTTCACAATGGTCCCTGCCCAAACTCCACCTTCCCTTTGACTCACACCAATTAGCTAATAAAAAGTGCTCAGTTACCTGCATTCTCTCAGAGATTTAAAAAAGTTCTCAGGCCCATGAGATCCATTTGCTTTTAGGAGTGTCTGCACCTCAGTTCACCAGCTGTGCAGTGCAGGGGTGGAGCTCCTGTCTGAGCAGGGCAGCCTGGGTTCCAGTCTGGGCTCTGTCATGTCTTCATGATGTGTGTGACCTGGACAAATGACTGAACACCTGCATGTCCAAGTGTCTCCATCTGTAAAATGGGAGGTGATGTTAATGCCTACCTTATTGGGTTGTTGTGAGGATTAAATGGATCCACATGTGTAAATTACATCATAAACACCTGTGGTGATGGTCATACTCTGGCATGCACTCCACGAGATGGTTCCAGGAGATGTGAACAGGAGATAATTACGCTGTGTGCATTACCCGAACCAAGGATGAGCTGAAGTATTCGTATTCATTCTCACTTCCCTTGACTTCTATAAGCAAACCCTGCCTCTCTCAAAGGCTATTAAGAGAAAATTTGAAGATAAAATCCTGTTTCAAACCAGCCTAAACCCTTGTGAAAGAATTGCAGCTTTCACACTTAGGAAAGGGTGTTAATAACTGCAATTAAAAATTAATTTTGAAGAGCTAAAAATTGCAAAGGATATCATCACTTTCGGTATCTGAGAATGGATAATATAGAACCAGTTCCTTCTGAACTGGTGTTCAGTGACTGAAACAGAGGTGCCTAGGGAATATGATCCTGTGGATGCTTTGATTGTTCTAAGTTATTTTTAAGTAACTTACTTTAAGTGGGTAAAGTTACTCCTTGGGGTAAGTTTTATGGTTTCTTTCTTATATGTTGCTGATATCATTTTCAGTGTCAGAGTTCAAAAGCTGGTTCACATCCTCGTGTACAATGATGTAAGACGTAGTATTTGTTGAGGCCAATCTTGCTGTTGGCAAAGTTATTTTTTAGGCTGACCTTAGGACAAGGGCTTTCCAACTTTGGACAACAGCCTTCAGATAAAAAACATTTTCCATTATGATCCAGTATATACATTTCATGTAAAATACCTACTTTTATTGTTTGCACTGTATTCTGGTATTTTCTATCCTATTCTCTTAAACTTTTTCTGATTAAGACCCATCATTGGGTTGTGATCCATAGTTTGAAAATATATCTCCAGAAACTGGTGCAGAACGTAGGTTGTGGTTGGGACTGGCTAAGGCAGAGTTGTCTTGAGAGTTCTCAGTATTTTGGGT